GGGGGGGGGGGGGGGGGGGGGGGGGGGGGGGGGGGGGGGGGGGGGGGGGGGGGGGGGGGGGGGCACATCGGAGGTAGGGGGGGAGTCCCAAGAAGAAGACATTGCGTGGTGTGTATTTCGACAAAGGCAGCAACACCACCAAACACGAATTTTGACTTTTTGTCCACTTCCAGCTCATGCTTTCTCAAGGCTCCCTGTCTTCGTCGCTAGGAACAGCTCCTGCGGTATCGTAACGCCAGCCAAACAACAACAACAACGGCAGCAGCAGCAGCAATGATACCATCGACGCAAAGAGGACAAAGACACACAAAACCTGGAAAAGGCGGCCGCCGCGCGCGCACCTGCAAGATGTGGTCGAGAGTAGCCCTAGCCTGCGCCTTGTTGTACCTCGCCTTGTTGGCGGTGGAGTCGATCACCAAGAAGGTCTCGTGCACGAACAAAACAACTTTACGCAGCTCTTCTCCGTGGACCTGCAGATGGATGCCATCAGAGAGGATACCACAGTTAGGATCGATCGGACAAACGTTTTTTGGTGACCGCAGCTCAGGGAGAAGCGGGGCGGGTGAGGAGGGGTTTGCTACTTTTGCTGCTGGTATAAAACATGTCGACATCACGGGGGCAGCACGCTTGCTACTCGAGACGCGCGGTGCCGTTCCCCTCTTGTCACAGAAGTCGTTCAACGCTCGAGTGGTGCTTACCGCAAGCGTGCGGGCGGAAGCACAGGTTGTGCGATCGATTTTTATACCTCGATTTATCCACAACCAAGAGGCTTCCAATGGCCGAAAAAGGGTGGCTTTTGCGAACATCTCTCTCGTTGAGACCTTGCCTGCACGTGTCGGCAAAGCTTCGCACCCTCTCGGCTGTGGAGCAATCGATCTTCAAAAACTGATTGCATGCCTATGCGACGACCACCCGCACGTAATGATATGTACATGCCGCATTCTACCTACAATTGTACCCGTGTGTTTTGGGGGCTGTAAGGGGGGAGCGAGGACGAGCGGCGAGGACGTGCCGCATTGTTGACCTCCAGCATGACCATTGGCCCATTTGTTAACACACGCGAAACTGCACTGTACGGGCAACAAACCGTTGTTACTAATGTACGATTTGCGTATCTGAACTTTGATGCTGCCCCTGGTGGTGTACGCGGATGCTATATGTTGGGACGGGCCGACGACAGCAGCGGCAACAACAACCGCAACACGAACAACGATGCTACAAACCTACGAGCAAAGCACCAAAACCATCGACACAACTGACAACAATGTTAGAAAGGCTTAGCCATTAGACTACTTAGCCCCGACCTCAGGACGGCATGCTACAACATACTACAAAGCTGCCGGCCGTTTCAACCTCTCTCTCTCTCTCTCTCTCTCTCTCTCTCTCTCTCTCTCTCTC